CTCCGGGGCGGCCCGTCCTCGGTGCCCCAGCCCACACTCACACACCCACACACCCACACACAGCGCCCCCGCAGCCACTCACTGCACACGCCGTACAAGCACTCAGCACACACCCGTGCACCCGCCCCCCACAAAGCTCCCTGTACCCAGCCTGCACTCAGGCACCCAGCTTCCTACACAGTCACAGGTGTACACATGCCCCTCACATGCATGCACACATGAGCACACACCCTACCCACCCATAGAGACCTGCACTACATACACACATCCATACTCCACACCCTCCCAAACACACACACACACACACACACACACACACACACACACACACAACTGCTCACTCACTCTCCCACTGTCCACATAGCCCACAGAAACACACACATCAACACACTACTCCCCTCACATACACATTGTGTATGGGCTCCGTTCTGTGTGCACACACACTTTGGACACCCTCCCATACATATATGGTCCACACACCCCACAGAGAGACATTTGCAAGCTTACCCACTGTGACACCCCCCCCCCAAAACCATCCCGCATATGCCCCACAGAGATACCCACAACCCCACAAAAGCAGACAGATGCCATGCACATACCACCCAGCACACCCACTCCATACAGGCGCACGCTGCACACATGGGCACACACCCTGCCCGGCACAGGGAGCAGCGCTCGCTCTCATCACACCCCACACCAGGATACACCCTAAGGCTGCAGGTGGGGTCCCCACCACCCCTGGGGAAAGTGTGACTGCCCCTCTTCCCCAGGACCCCCTTCCCTTTCACTCTGCCTAGAGGGGCCACCACCAGGCTGACAACGGGCTCCGAGCTGGCCCCCACCCCATCCCCAGCACATGAGTCAGACAGGAAGCCCATGTTGATGGCAGACCCTGCCCTCCTCCCCCTTCCCGGGTGGGGCTGGCAGAGGCCTTGGCTGGTCGGTATGTAATCGCTACCTCCATTTCTATCCCACGTGACTGTTCACACACAGTGCGCTTCTCACCACAGCCCCTCACCGTGGCCTGGGGTCCCGCTGTGACCCCATTTCCAGAGAAGGAAACTGAGGCCCAAGAGCACCCAGGTTGCTATGGAAGCACCGGGACTCCAAGCCCCAAGCCCCTCACTCCAATGTTGGATCTTACTCCCAAATTCTAGCCAGCAGTCAGAGAAGGGAGGTTGGGGGCAGGGGAGGAGGCAGCCCCAGTCCAACCCTGCTCCCCATCTAGGAGTATGGGGAGGAAGACTCTAGTATTGGGCCCCTGTGGCAGCCACCCAAAGGGAGGACCGGGCAGAAGAGTTGGCTCCTCATCCCATCCGAGGAAGGACAGCTCTGAAGGTGGATCCTGTGGGAGGCAGGGGAGTGACATGGAGAGGCACAGAGAGGAGAGGGGTCCCGGGGGCAGAGGGAGGAGAAATAGAGGGCCATGGGGGTGAGCAGGAGTGAGGGAGGGAGAAGGGAGGGAGGAAGAAGGGCGAGAGCGAGGCATGTGGGGGCCGGGAGCGGTTTTGTTCTCCTGTTTCCTGTTTGCTGCTTGCTGGGTCCCCTGTGCAGGAGCTGGACCCCCACCCCCACCCTGGCGGAAGCCAGACGGGAAGAGTGAGGCTGCCACCGGCCGCTGAGTCAGGAGGGCTGAGGGCCGGGCGGGAAAGGACCTCAGTCAAGGGAGCAGAACTCATGACATCTCCATCAGCACCCCCACCCTGAGCCTCCCTGTCACATCCCCCAAAGGCCAGGCCCTCAGAGACCAGCCGGAAGCACCAAGATGCCGTCAGCCGCGTCAGACTCTGTGGCCCCACGCAGAGGGCCATGGCCACGGGAATGTCCTCGCTCGGTCTGGCCTGGTGTCCCAGCAAGCAGCCCGAAGTCCTTCCAGACACCTAACTTCCTTTCCTTGTGCTGCAAGTCCACCTGGTTCTGAGGAAATGGAGTGACTCTCCCCACTCATGCCCCAGGGAACCTTTCAGAGCCAACAGGTGCTGCTCTGTGTACGGATCAAGCCCCGGACTTAGGGTTCTGTGTCCAGGGCTGTAGACATCTGGGAAATGATGAGACATCGATGATGTCCATTTCCTGCCCTCTAACTGGGCAGAGACAGCAAGGCCCGGCAAAGGCGGGAGCAGCCTGGGCCAACACAAACCCGCACTCCTCCCCCTTAACCCCAGCTGCCCCTTCAGGGACCTCAGGAGGGGGATGTACACAGTAGGGCCTCCAAGGTTGTACAGAGTTTGGATAAATGATCCTCCAGCCCTGGGGAGCCTTTCGGCCCCCTCCCCCATTTCCTCTGGGAAAGGAATGTGGGGTGGGCCCCAGAGGGCGGTGGGGGAGGGGGCCCAGGACTGGGAAATACCAGGCGTAGCTGAGATTCTATTCCGAGCCTTCCTGCCGAGTGTGAGTCCTCCTTCCCCACACCCTCCCCAGCTTCCTCCCCCCACATCAGCAATAGCCCAGCCGAGCAGTCCCTCCCATCATCCTCTAGTTTGACCAGCTTGCAAAATCCATTCAACCTTATCTTCCTGAGGGTCGTTGGGACAGGTACTGGGGCGGGCATCTAGTCTTCTCTCCAAATGAGATAACCATCTTTTACTGCTTCAAAGCACTTTTGCTATATCTTATTTGACCCTTATCCTAAGAATTGCATGTCCAGGAATATTTTAATACCCATTTTTCAGATGTAGAAACTGAGGTGCAAAGGGGAAAAGTGACTGGTTCAAAGCTTCGCTTTTACTAAGCTGGGACCAGATCCCCAAGTTCTACAGCCTAAGTCAGACCTGCTTCCACGTCCCTCTTGTTTATTCTTTAACAACCATGTCTTGAGTGCCTGCTGTGGGCCAGGTGTGGTGCCAGAGCCTGGGGCGCCCTGGAGAATAAGAGGAGTGCAGACCTTGTCTTCTGGACCCTTAGACTTCTGTTAGCACCCCGGCCCATGAAACCCTTAGGGGTCCCCCAGGTCCGGATTCAGGCCAGAGCCAGCTGCCTTCATCCAGAACAAAGGGAGACTCTCACATCAACAGGGCCCGGGGCCCTCATCAGGGGCCCTGAGAGGGGACAGTTTGTTTGAGGGTGTGGTCAGGGGCCTCCCAGGTCAGCCCTTGAACCAGAGGGCGGCCTAGGCTGGAGGAGCAGGAAGAAGAGAGGGTCCTGGGGCCCACGGGTCAGGGGATATGAGGAGGAAAACTGATACCTTGGGAGGGCTAGTGGTTCAGGAAGTGAGAGAGAGGGACTGGGGGTCAATTCGCCTGCTTTTCCTTCTGGTTTCCCTCCCAGAATGTAGGCCCCAAATCAGGAGATAAACAGTACCCCCCACCCCAAGAGAATGATCTGGCACTTCAGAAACTTCCCATACGTATGCCCATCACATACCACCAAAAACAGGTCTGTAACCACCCCACAGCCTCACACCCAGACAGAGCGAATCCGCCGCCAGGTTCCGGCCATCCCAGGCATGCAGGCAATGTGATACCCACGGCATCTTGCCCGCCCACGCCTGGGCCTCCAACCCCTGACCCAGTCCCCTTGCTCAAGGGCAGCTGCCCCCTCGGTCCTCCTCCACCCTTTTGCCCCATTCAGATGCCTGGTTCCCAGCACCAGTTGTGTACAATCCTGACATGCCCCAGCAGGCCAAGCTGATGAGCCGGCCCAGCAAGCCTGCATCTCCCCAGCACTCTCAATGTGCAGATAACCCCTAGTCACTGGGAGCACTTGGTATGGTCCCATGGACAGGGTGTAGTTCAAAGAGTCTCTCCAGACTCATGCTTTCCCCCTCCAGGACCAAGCTTGCCCTGAGTTGGGGTAGTTGGGACACTCCTCTCCCACGCTCAAACTGGGCCAGAGCCAAGGAAGGCTTGCGGGGGTGGGGGGTGAGGGGTGGGGAGGAAGCAATTGCAATTTCATCTCAAGGAGGGACCAAGGATCAGAATCACCTAGTTCTTCAGTGTCAGCGTGGCCCAGGGCTGAGCACATGGGCTCTGAGTCCTGTCTCTATCTCTTTCTGGCTGTGAGACCGACCTCCCCAGAGTTACTTAATCTCTTTGAGCTTCTGTTTCTCACCAATAAAATAGGAATTAAGTAAATTAAATGTTAATTTACTTTCTTTAAGTAAATTAAAGAAAGTCCTTAGCACACACAGGCCCTGGGCACATAGTAGGGATTCAACAAATGCAAGATTTTTGTTGTTGTTGTTGTTGTTTTCCTTTTTTTAAAAAAAAATCTTTTCTGGTGATACAATTAACATTCACCATTATATTAGTTTCAGATGTACAACATAATAATTCAAAATGTGTATGCATTGTGAAATGATCACCACAATGAGTCTGGTTAACGCCTGTCATCATCTATAGTTACAGAATGTTTTGTTGTTATGATAAGAATTTTTAAGATCTATTCTCTTAGCAATTTCAAATATGCAATACTGTATTAGTAACTATAGTTGCCATGCTGAACAGTACATCCCCATGACTTATTTTAGAACTGGATGTTTGTACATTTTGACTTCCTTCACCCATTTGGCCAACTCCCTCAATATCCCCCTTCACCCCCTTAGCCCCCCAACTCCCCTTCCCAGGCTCTGGCAACCACCAATCCGTCCTCTGTGAGCTTGGTGGAGTTTTTGGTTTGGGGTGTTTTTTATTAGGATTCCACATCTACGTGAGATCATACAGTACCTGTCTTTCTCTGCCTGACTTATTTCACTTAGCATAATGCCCTCAAGGTCAATGCAAGCTGTTTTGATTGTCTTTTGGATATTTACACTCTCACACACCCAGCCACACTCACATTGAGACAGACAACTCAGCCACATGTACACAAAGACACGGTGACACATGCAGACCCTTAGGGCGATCTGCACAGAGCCAGGTGAACCACTCACGTGGGCATCACTGCCACCTCCCCCAGCCAGCCCCCCACAGGCTCCTACATGCCCCACTTCTCCCCAAGCTGAGAGGAATCTTCAGGAGCCCCCCTTCCCTAGCAGAACTTGGGCAGGCCCAGAGCCTGGTCTTGGAGGTCCTTTGGGAGTGGGGAAGAGGTGGGCGACGTGAGACCCCAGGACGGGGCCTGCTCTTAGCAGGCGAGGAACCTGGCAGAAGTGCCAGGCTGGCAGGGCCTTTCCCAGCAAGAGAGCCAACTTCCTCCTCCGGGAGGGAGGACTACAGATGAGCATCTTTCCTCATGGTGGGAAATGAGCACTTGCGGAAAAGGGTGAGTCTAGAGCCAGCCACAAAGTAAACAGCAGGGCCATTGCCTAGGCAACTGCAGGCCAGTGTGGGCCAGGGCCCACCACAAGCCCTGTCCAACCCCCTGATTTTCTCCACTCAGCAGCCCCTGGCTGTCTCGATGCATGCCCTCCATGTGTCCATTCTGGTCTCTGGGTCTGTCTGGGACTCCCCCGAAAGAAGGGCCTCTGCCTCCTCCCTCAGATTGGGAGCTCCCTACAGCATCATTGGGGTTTTTTGTTTGTTTGTTTTGCCTCATATCCATCTAGGGCAGCGGTTCTCAACCTGTGGGTCGCGACCCCTTTGGGGATCGAACGACCCTTTCACAGGGGTCGCCTAAGACCATCGGAAAACACATATATAATTACATATTGTTTTTGTGATTAATCGCTATGCTTTAATTATGTTCAATTTGTAACAATGAAAATACATCCTGCATATCAGATATTTACATGACGATTCATAACAGTAGCAAAATTACAGTTATAAAGTAGCAACGAAAATAACTTTATGGTTGGGGGTCACCACAACATGAGGAACTGTATTAAAGGGTCGCGCGATAGGAAGGTTGAGAACCACTGATCTAGGGTCTCCCAGAGGTCACCACCTGCGTCTTTCTCCTCAGATTGGAGACAGCTCAAGGGCATGACCTGAGTCTCCCCATGAGACTGAGAGCTTCGTAAGGACAGGAGCTACTGAACTTTCAGATATAGGTTTGTATTACTAGAGTGCTTTGTACATGGTAGGCTCTCAATAGTTATTTGTTCATGGTGAGAATGTGGAGAAATTGGAACCCTTATGCATTACTGGTGGGAATGCCAAATGGTTGCTGTTGCTATGGAAAACAGTACGGTGGTTCCTCAAAAAATTAAACATAGCAATTCCACTTTTGCCTCTGTACCCAAAAGATAAGAAAGCTGGGACTCAAACAGATATGTGCACACTCATGTTCAAGGCAGCATTACTCAGAAGCCAAAGGGTGGAAACAACCCAAATGTCAATCAGTAGATGAATGGATAAACAAAATGTGGTCTGCCCCAGCATCCATCAGTCGATGAGTGGCTAAAACAGCTATGGTACATTTACACAACGGAATACTAATCAGCTGTAAAAAAGAGGGAAATTTTACCCTTTGCAACAGCATGGATGGACCTGGAGAACATTATGCTAAGTGAAATGAGCCAGTCAGAGAAAGACAAGCACCAAATGATTTCACTCATATGTGGAATCTAATGAACAAAGTGAGCTAACATGTAAAATACAGACTCGTAGACAGAGCGAAGGCTGACAGCTGTCAGGCAGTTGGGGGGGTGGGCTGGGGGTGTGAGGGAGAGTGTTCAAGGATGGAGGGATTGAGCAAAAAGGAAAAAAAAGAGAAAGAATTCATTGACACGAACAACTGTGCGGTGATTGCGCAGGGGCGGCGGGGGGAGTGAGTGGAGGTGGAAGAGGGCATGAGGAATAAATGGTGATGGGAGAAACTTAAATTAAAAATTAAAAAATGTGGTATATACATACAATGGAATTTTATTCAGTCTTAAAAAGGAAGGAAATTCTGACATATGTGACAACATGGATGAACCTTGAGGACATTATGCTAAGTGAAATGCACCAGACACAAAAGGACAAATATTGTATAATTCTACTTATATGAGATACCTGGATTCATAGAGACAGAAAATAGAATGGCGGCTGCCAAGGGCTGGGGGAAGAGGAAATATAAGTTACTGTTTAATGAGTATAGAGTTTCAGTTTGGGGAGATGGAAAATGTCTAGAGATGGATGGTGGTGATGATGGCTGCACTACAATGTGAATGTACTTAATACCACTTAAAAATGGTACATTTTAGCCCTGGGCAGTGTTGCTAAATGGTTAGAGCATCTGCCGGCACATCAAAGGGTCTCAGGTTCAATTCCTGGTCAAGAGCACATACCTGGTCAAGATTAAATTCCCAGTCCCTGGCCAGGAGTGCTTGTGGGAGGCAACCAATCGATGTGTCTCTCTCTCACACAGTGATATTTCTCTCTCTCTCTCTCTCCCTCTCTCCTCTCCCCTCTCTCCCTTCCATTCTCTCTAAAAATCAATGGGGGGGGGAATATATATATATATATGTTATATATGTATATATCTCCTCGGGTGAGGATTAACAACAACAATAAAAAAAGGTATATTTTATGTTATGTATATTTTACCACAATAAAAAAAAATGGCAAGATCAGAATTCAAATGGAAAAAAAACCTCCTGTTGAAAGGAGATGGAACAAGTGAACAATCTCCCATTGGGGCCCAGAAGCAAGCCCGACCCAGAGATTGTCCGGGACAGCTGGGAACCTCCTGCCTGAGGACCTTTCCTTCTCACCCCTCTCCTCTCCGTTGTTCCTTCTCAGACCCCTGATTGTCATCTTTGGGGGCCCTAGTACCCCCTGCACAGGGGGAGCTCTGGGGCTGCCAGGGAGTCTGAACTTTGATACGGTCCACCCTTGGCATTGATGAGGACCTGCCATCTATCAGGGGCTGACCTGATGGAGGCACAGTCTCTGGGGATGCCATATCCCATGGTGTCAGGACCTTGGAAGAATTTTCCTAGCAAAAGCGGGGCTAAGTGTGAGGTTCCTGCCTCCCGAGGGCCGACCCCGCACAGCGCACACGTCCTATCTAAGCCTACAAAACACCCGTAACATACACACACGAGGGCGCACACAGCAAGTTCCCGTTCCCACATGCTCTCTTAGGCACACACTCCGAGACAAACATGCAGGCAGGTCCCATGTGCAGCAGAGCCCCCTGCTGGCCCAGCACTAGCACACTTACCGCCCTCATTCCCTCCACCCTGCCTCTCACCGTTCATCCTCCAGTCCCCTCAGCCCCTCCACACCCCAGGACCACCCCTCTCCACCTCCTCCCGGGAGCAGGGTCTATGGAACCTTGGGAAGGTTCCCCCTCTGGTCAAGGAGCACTGGAGAGAGGCTAGAGCAGTGGTTCTCAACCTTCCTAATGCCGCAACCCTTTAATACAGTTCCTCGTGTGTGGTGACCCCCAATTTCATTGTTACAAGTTGAACATAATGAAAGCATAGTGATTAATCACAAAAACAATATGTAATTATATATGTGTTTTCCGATGGTCTTAGGCGACCCCTGTGAAAGGGTCGTTGGACCCCCAAAGGGGTCGCGACCCACAGGTTGAGAACCGCTGGGCTAGAGCCTCTTAGATCGAGTTAAGGGCAGTCATTCCTGGAGGCAGGAGAATGCGTACAATGACTCTTCTCCAAAATCATCATATCCATTCGGAGACTCCACACTGGACGCCCATGTCAGTGGAGATGGGGGGAGGGAGGGGGAGAACTCTGGGAGTGGCTCTCTCTATGAATATCTGCCTGTTGTCTGACCACCTGGGCAGAGACAACAGGTGCACCCACTGTTGTTTTGTTTTGTTTTTCAGGGGAGAGCTCAGTCCTAGTCAAGCTGAGACCACATCTCCTCCCAGGGCAGGCCTCGGCAGATTCCGAAAGTCTCCCTCAGGGCACCCGGGCTGCCTGCGAAGAGAGGCTCTCAGCCCCACCCCTGAAACCACCCACCCCCTCACCCAGGCCCTGCCCAACCTGCCCAGGTCATCCCTTCACCCCACCTAGGAGATGAACCTCGCCCTCACCCAGTCCATGATGCCCCCGAGGCAGCTGGAAGGGCGGAGGGGACGGTGGCCCTGTAAGGACAACCTCCCCTGGCTCTTGCCCATAAGGGAGCTAAGATGGTTTCTGGGCTGGGCTCTGTGGTCAGAAGAGGACAGATGGCATTGCCTTCAGCCCTATATCCTACCCCTCACCAGTTTGCCTGGCCCCATATTAATAGTTGTTGAGTCCTCACTATATGCCAGGCAGGCTGCACATGCATGACCTCATTTAAGAGCAGAACAGCCTCTTGGGATCGCTCTCTCTCTCTCTCTCTCTCTCTCTCTCTCTCTCTCTCCTGCCTTTGAAACAGACAACCTCTGCTTGCCCTCATTCTTAATATTAAATCTTATTCCTAAGTCCAGCATTGGGGCAAACAGGTGGGTTCCAGTCTGGTGCTAGGTAGGAAATGCTGGGCTAAACCACAGGAGCACTAGGGGCTGGAGCTAGGAGGCTGGTGAGCTGGTGAGAGAGATCACTCACTGTCCCAGGATCGAGAAGGCTGATACGGAGAAAGGGTCACACTTGCCCTCAGTACTGGCCCTGGCCCTGGCCCTTTCCGGCTATGTGACCTCAAGGTCACTCGGGTTTTCTTATTTCTTCAGCTACAAAACGAAGCTGGGGATAGCGGCCTGACAAGGTGCGGGGAAAGCATTTGGGGAACTGATAAAGGGGAGGTGTTATGGCCCCAGCCCTACATTCCACCCGTCAGAGTGAGCTCTGCTTTCCAACCGTCTCCCGGGTCCATCCGCTTCACCATGTCCACCGCTCTGCTCCTCGCCGCCACCACTCCCCTGACAGTCCAGACTGGCTGCTTTAATGCTATGGCCACAGACTCCGTGGGACATGCCTCCAGGCTCCCACACGCCCACCACACCCCTTTCCTCTGTGTTCCAGCTCCCCTGGCCTCCTTCCAGTTCCTTTGAGGACCCGGCACCCTTCCAGCCTCAGGCCCTTTGCACATGCTGTTTCTGGAATGCTGTTTTCTCTTCCCCAGCCCCCTCCCTGCCTCACCAACACACACCCTAACTAACTACTACCCACCCTGTGTTTCTCAGGAGGAAAAAAAAAGTCACTGCCCCAGAGACACCTCCTCTGGGCCCCTAACCAGGGCTGGTCCCTCTGCACCCCTCACAGCACCTTGAGCTGGTGTCTATATAATTACGAGGTCATTTTGACCATCTTCCTACCCCACCCCAGGACTGTGAGTTCTGGAAGGCAGGGACCGGCTGCTTTGCTGGCTGTTCAATCCCCAGCTCCTGGCACAAGGTGAGCGCTGGGCAAACCATTTCTGATGGGAAGGGATGAATGAGCTTCTCAGAGAGAGTCTTTGGGAGGTGTCTGCCTTGTGCTGGGGCTGCTTCAGATCTTTGTCTATTTTTTTTTTTTTTTTTGCATCCTACCCCTTCCTCAGTGGGAACCAGATCCGGAAAGTGGGGGTGCTGGAATAAGGATGCGGGGGGGGGGGAGAAGCTGCTTCAATGCCCTTTGCAGTGTCCTCGGTCCCCTCACCGCAGCTGGCCAAGTCCTTGTCCACTCAGGGCTGGCCCGCCACATCCACAGCCCCTCTCTCTGGAATATAACCCTTGTCTCTCCCCTCCCTCGTCTTCCCTTAAGGATCCCTGTCCTCCAGGTCTCAGCTTGGCTGCTTCTGAGAAGCTTCCCGGAGCGTCGGAGCTTGCCAGGGCCCCACACCAGTGGCAGCTCCGACTCAAGCCCAGGCACCCGGTCGGCCGGTCTGCGGACAGAGCCCAGCTTCTGGGCCGCCGCATTGCAGCCTCCTTACTACCAGCTTCTCCCTGCAGGCCCGGCCCAGAGGCACGCCCCTTCTCACGGCCTCAGTTTCCCCCTGCGGACTCTAGATTTCAAGAAGATGGGCAGAGAGGATGAAGGCAGGGGGTAGGCAGAGGGAGAGGAGGAAAGGGGAGAGAAAAGGAGGTAGGGAGGAGCGCGAAGGGGCGACAGCTTCGGGCCAGCCAGACGAGAGAAACGCCAAGTATGCGAACCACGCCAGCCCCAGAGCTATGAATAGTGCGGCCGGCCAGGCTGGCAGCCTAGGTCTGCCCTTCCCG